TTGGATTAAAAAATTTTTTTAAGCACCGCAAGGGCCATTCTGGTACAGATATATTTTTGATGTCTCTCATTGTTTCCTTAGGTTGTATTTTAAGAAATAGGATTATGAAGCTCAGAGCACCCACTGATAGTTATACCAGTTCTCCCAAAAGGTTTCATTCATTCATTCATTCATCTCACCAATACTTACTGAACACTTGCTCTGTGCCGGGCGCTGTTCCAGGTGCTGAGGACGTGGTGGTGAGCTCCCTGGGAAGCACAGCGTTCCCCATCCGAGCTTGTGTGACAGCGGGGCCGTGACTGGGGAGGACACGGCATCTGCCTTGTGTTCATCCGGTCACATCGGAGATCCTGGGAAGGTGTGTGTAAATCAGAACTTTAGAATTTGAGAATGAAGTACCCAGTGCAACATGTTATTTCAAGGGGTCCCAGGATGAGTTTAAGTCTTTTTCTCACTCAGAAACCGAATCCTTTGACTATAACCCAATGAAGTTACAAATTATTAATAAAAAGGTAGCCAGAAAAATCCAGAAAGAGCCAGAAGCCTCTGCATACATTTGGAAATCAATAGTGAGCTTTTGCTCGGCTTATCAGTTAAAGATTGTCACGATAAAAAATGAGGAAACATTTAGGCTGAGTGACAATAAGAGCGTTGCGTGTCAGAACATGTGGAATGCAGCAAAATTGGTACTTAGGGAAAATTTATAGCTTCATTAGAAAATCAGATGATAAATTAACGAGCCGTGTGTCGTAGTTTCCTCGGGTGCCATACAGTTCTGGAAGCCGGAAGCCCCAGATCAACGCTTTGTCAGGGGTGGTCACTTCTGGGGGCTCTGACGGGGGGCGGGGTCCGCCGCAGCCCCCCTCCAGCTTCTGGGGGCTGCCCTTTACTGGCAGACGCATCACCAGACTGCCCCTGTGTTCGGCCCTGTGTGTCTGTGTCCAAACTTCCTCTTTTTATAAGGACACCCATCGTTGGATTAGGGCCACTCTAATCCAGGATGACCTTGTCTTAACTTGATTGTATCTGTGAAGAGTTATTTCCAAATAAAACCACTCTCTGAGGTTCTGGGTAGACATGAATTTTTGAGGGACCCTTTTCAACCTACTGCGCAGGTGCCACCTGAGAAGCCAGGAATAGAGGAGGAAAGCAAGACAGAAACGAGGAAAAATTATAAGGGTAAAAGCAGAAGTTAATGAAGCAGAAATCGAAGAAATAGCAGACAATAAAATCAGAGTCTGACTCCGAAGAGATGGATGAAACAAACATTGGAGAGGGCTGCCACGTCATGAAGAGACACACAAACTGTAATTTGCCACAGGTTGGGGAGGAGGGGGGCAAGGGGTGAGCTCAGAACTGCCCACGTCCCCTGGTTCAGCTCTTCTCATCTGGGTGGACTCAGGAGGCATCTCCTCCAGGAAGCCCTCTTGGACTCCTCCTTGCTGAGGATGGTCTAAGAGCCTGCCACTGCTGGTGCAGCCCCTTGTACCTGGTCCTTTGGTGGTGCTCACCCGTTGTCTTGCTGTGACCACCATCTCTGTCCTGTTTGAGCTCTAACAGTAACCTCCTTCATGAAAGAACTATGCCTTTTTCCCTGTTGCATTTTCTGTCTGAGGCCTGGTATACAGAAGGTGCTCAATAAATGATCGAAGCTCTGTGCTTCTCTTCTTGCCTTGCCGCTGGGTGGCTGGGTGCCCTGGACACGTCCCTCACCCTAGGAATCCCCTACGCGGGACGTCCCTCACCCTAGGAATCCCCTACGAGGGATGGGGCAGCCGGTGTCCTTGCCCAGCCAGAGAGGGAGGGGAGCAGAGGGGAGGGATTCCACTGTCCCAGGCTCCCAGGCGTGTGTGCTGTTGTGTGGGGGGGGTCAGCTCAGTTCTGGAAAGTCTCCCTAGACCCCCCTCCGTGTTGTCTCTTCTCAGGCTGGAAGCCTGCATTTCACCCCTCGCGTAGTAGAACGTGGTCAGAAGGTGATGAAGCACGTCGTTCATGGCCCAGGAGCTCTGGGTCCCGAGGGCAGGACGGGGACGGTCCCTGGAGCTGCCTTACGCGTTTCGGGGCAGATTCTGGCCGCAGAGCTTTCTGGAAACACTGTTCCCACACTCTTGTTATGAAGATTCCTTTGGCCTGATCGCCTGTCCTGACCCCGTGCCCTCTACCATTCACAGCCAAGACAACTCAGCAGCATGAAAACAGGAGGCAGGAAAGGGGAGCTCTGAGAATTAGAGGTTTTCCTGGAATCTCCCGGGGTGGGAGAGGGATGCCATCCAGAAATAACGGGCTGGCGTGGTCGAGGCAGAGCCTGGGGGCGGTCATCCCACTGCGCCCTGGGGGGCCCTGGCTCCCGGCGCACCCCCCCCCCCCCCCCCCCGTGTCCTCTCAAAATCCCCTGAAGTGGCTTCGTGTTTTGAACCACCTGTATCCTGCCTCATTTGACCCTTTGCCGCCAGAGACGGAAAATCATCTCCGTGCCAGGACAGGGCTGCTTACTGGTCCAAGAAAACAAGGCCTGGGTTGCGGCTTTCTTGAAGACAAATGGCTTCTGGTGGCTGCACAGGGAGCCTGGGGTCCTCACCGTGACTGCGGACCCTGGGTCAGCCACTGTCTGTAGGGTCTGTGGGCCATTCCCAAGGCTAGGTCGCTCCGTCATCTCGAAGTCAGTGTGTCCAGAACCCAACTCAACGTCGGCCAGATCAAAACCAAATCAATACACAGAAAGTGGCAAAGGGTGTTGGGGGATGGCACTGCTGCTGGGAGCGGCTGGCGGAGAGCGCTGGGAGGTTCTTCACCAAGCTGAGCACGAGCCCCCGTGGGACCCAGCATTCCTGCCCCAGGGGTATCCCCAAGAATTGCACACGGCACCGAGACGCACACGTGCACCCTCACGTCCATGGCAGCGCTACTCACAGCAGCCAAAGGATGGAGCCAGCCCATGTCCACCAGCTCACTAATGGAGCATCGAGATGTGACACCGCGGAGTACGATTCAGCCACCAAAAGGAGAGACGTGCTGACACCTGCCACAACGTGGGTGCTCCTTGAAGACAGTGTGCCGAGTGGGAGAAGTCTGACACGGGAGGGCACGTACCGTCTGATTCTGTCCGTGGCCATGTCCAGAATGGGCGGATCCACGGAGGCAGAAGGTAGGTTGGTGGGTGCTAGGCCTGGGTGGAGGGCATGGAGGAGCTGCCAGCGGGGTACCTGGGTGTTTTGGGGTGATGAAACGTTTGGATCTAGCTGTTAGAGAGGTTTGCGTAACATTGTGGATGTACCGAATGCCACAGGCTTGCATACGTTAAAATGGCTGATTGTTAATTTTATGTTGTGCGAACTTTACCTCAACTGAAGAGAAGTCCCCTCGTTTGCTGAGACAAGCGCCTGTCGGCTCCCTCGCTTCTACGGGAAGCCTGGGGTCGTTTCCTCCCGACCTCACCTTCATCACTGCCCACGTCTCTGCCCCGTGTCACCGTCACCTCCGAGCCTGGGCACTCCCACATGGCCTGACCTTCCGGACGTCCTTTGGTGGCCCGGGGCCTCTGCTGGTTCCTCTCTCCTGCGCGCTGGCAGAGCCCCGGTGTCACTATAAACAGTTTACGCTGCAGTGCAGGGGCCTTTCCCACTCATGTCTCCCAGATCCCGCTTTAAGACCCCACTGACTCATTTTTGTATATATTACTGTTCTTTTTTTTTTTTTTTTTTCTGGCCACACGGCTTGTGGGATCTTAGTTCCCCCAAACAGGGATTGAACCCGGGCCCTCGGCAGTGAGAGCTCGGAGTCCTAATCACTGGACCACCAGGGAATTCCCTTACTGTTCTTATTTTTAATAATTTCTAAGAGCAAAGGCCCAGAGTCTCTCACTTGAGATGCAACTGACATTTCTATTGATAGTGAAAATTCGTGGTTTACAAGAACAGTCAGTGACGTTTGTAATGATTTCCATAAAAGTGGGAGTCTTACTGACAGTCTTAACTTTGAGTAGAATTAACGTACAATGTAAATAACACATTTCCGGCGTGTCACCCAGTAATTCACGAAGGGTGGGAAATAACCCAGTGACTCCTGGCTCCAGGGAGATGTTGGCGCTGGTCTCAGAAAGGATGAGAATGACTGTTGTCACGGTAACAGAGGAGTGGCGAGGTGAGTACTTGGAAGGCAGTTCTGGGGCGATCGGTGGTTGCTGGTGTGTCCAGAGCTGACCCTCAGGGAAACCCCTCCTTCCCGCCCACGAGGCACCTGGGGCTGTTCCTCAGCCTTGGAAGCGTTGGGTGTTGGATGAAGACCCTGTACATGTTGGCGTGAGTCGGAGCTGCTCTCCTGGCTTTGGCTGTTGTGTAGGGTCGTGTGTAGGTGCAAGAGCTTATAGAGCTGGTACCTCCTGTGACCATCCGGGGCCGTGTGCTGGGAAGCCCGGTCCCATCCAGGGACCAGCTGGTCGCCAGGTTGCTCTGGGGCAGTGGAGCTGGAGGGTCGGCTGTGGGAGACCCCGTCACTCCATGTACCTTTGCACTTTTTGGGTTTTGCGTCCTCTGTGTGTAAACAGAGTTTTTAAAAAGCAGTAATGAAAAGCGCGGGAAGAAGATGAGAGGTTTGCTTCCCTGTTCCGCGCCCACCTCCTGTTTCCTGCACGTTGGTGAGCAGAGCGGGGGCACTTCCTGCCCTCGGGTGAACCGGTGGGGCTGGGGGGCCTCAGAGGCTCGCCGGGGCCTTGGACCCGGTCGGCTGAGCTCTGGGGTCTGGTAGCAACTTTGACACGTTGCTCAAAGTGTGAAGGAACAGAAAGCCTTCTGGAGCCAGGGCTCTGTGGCCGGCAGGGCTGTGGGCTGGGAAGAGGTGGGCTTGGAGGTAGCCTTGAAGTCCAGGGAGGCGGGTCGGGCGGGCCCGGCTGGGACGCGCTGGGTCCCCGGCCTTCCTGGGACCCCGTGACCTCCCGGGACGGACTCTGGGGTTCTGCCGAGATGGCCTCTCTTCTCACCCGCTCTGCGTTGTCCCCCCTCCAGGAAGAAAACCGACAGATCCTGGCGCAGCAGAAGTCAGCCTCCCAGTCGGACTCGCACGATGAGGAAGTGTCCCCGTTGCCGCCCAACCCGGTGGTGCAAGCCCGGCACCGGCGTGGGGGAGTGAGCGCCGAGGTGTACACAGAGGAGGATGCCGTGTCCTACGTGCGGAAGGTGGGCCTCGACCCCCCTCCCCCACCCCGCCCTGCATCCCAGCCCGCATCCCAGGCGTTGGGGCCTTGGCCTCCCTTCTTCTTCCAGAAGGTCGTCGTGGTCCCCGCTGGCCTGAGCCCGGTGCGCACCTGCCTGAGGCTCTCTTGGGGCCACCCCACCCCCATTGTTCTGTGACCCCAGTAGGCTGGGGACAGGGCGGGATGGCCAGGTCGTGGGGTGTGGGAGGAGGAGCCCCGTGTCCAGGGCCTCGTGGGTCCTGTTCTCCTGGCTTCACCCTCGAGGTTGGACCCCAGCCTCAGAGCCGCCTGGGGGTAGCCCGCCCCCGCCCTGGACGTCACCCTTCCTCTCTCTCTGGCCCTCCTGCTGAGCAGGGCACACCTTTGTCAGGGGCCTCCCCGATGTGAGAGCACTGGTGGCTGCGTGTGCCCCTGAGCCCTGCCTTGGACATGCCTGCCATTCCATCTTATGCATTTCTACAGCCAGCTTTAGTCTTTAAAAAGATTCTTTTTATTTTTACTTTTTGACCTATTACAAACATTTATTTTATAATATGGCAAAATGTGCGTAGTAGAATTGACGTCTGTGTCAGCTCAAGCTGCCGTAACAAAAGACTGGCGGCTTAAACAACTGACATTTACCCTCTCACAGTCTCTAGGCTGGGAGCCCAAGATCCAGGTGCCGGCAGGGTGGGTTCCTGGTGAGAACCCTCTTCTCTTCCTGGCCCCCAGGCGGCCGCCTTCTCGCCTGTTCTCACGTGGCGGGGGGGTGGGGAGCGCAAGATCTTTGGGTCTCGACTTACGAGGGTGCGGATCCTGTCTTGGGGGCCCACCTAACCCCAGTCACCTCCCGAGGCCCCATCACTAAACACCTTACCATGGGGGCTAGGGCTTCGACACGTGAATTTGGGGACAGTTGGGCAACAGCACCTCTTTAACCATGTTTAGCATCCAGGTCACATTCTCACCATTGTGCCACGGTCACCGCCGTCATCTCCAGAATGTTTTCATCTTGCAAATCTGAACCTCTGTCCCCATGAAACAACCATGCCCAGTCCCTCCCTGGTACTGAGTCCTTTTATAATCAGGGAACAAAACCAGTAAGAGTGCAGCTTAAAAGCCCACCGTCCAGCCCGGAGGAGATCCCCAGACAAACCCAGACAAAGGGACGTTCTGCAAAATCACTGCCAGTCGTCCTCTGAGAAACTGTCACAGACCAGAGGGGCTGAAGGGCCACGGCGACTGCATGTGGCCTGGGTGGGATCTGGGTAAAACCAAGGAAACAGGACAGACATGTGGCTTTAGCTGCTAGGATGGCGCCCAGCTGGTTCCCTAAGTGTGACGTGTCACCACAGTAACCCAGGGTGTTACAGGAGGGGAGGGGTGCAGCGTGTAGGAAGAGACCCTCCTCTCGAGGCCTGCACGTCCGAGCTGTTACACAGTTGCTGGAGCTGGAGTGTCACCACAGTAACCCAGGGTGTTGCAGGAGGGGAGGGGGTGCAGCGTGTAGGAAGAGACCTTCCTCTCGAGGCCTGCACGTCCGAGCTGTTACACAGTTGCTGGAGCTGGGGTGGCTTTTCAGGGGCTCCATCCTGCCCCTCAGGGATCCCTTTGTAAAGGGTTCCATGGTTTTAGATGCGGCGTAACCACATGCGGGGTCCCGACATCACCACCCGCCCCCAGCCTGGAAGAGATTTCGGGGCAGCTGAGCACGAGGTTGGGGTCACGTGCCGGTGCAGACAGCCTCCCCTCGGTGTCTTTTGAGGGAGGAATCTTGGCGTTGGAAATACCAGTGCTGGTCGTCAGCTGGGCGTTGATTCACTGGACACACCTCGAGCTTTCCAGGCTGGTCTCAGCGGGCGTGGGGATGACTTTTTACCCACATTTTAGCCAACAAGGTCCAGGCCCTTACCTACCCCTTCCATAACCACCTGAAAGGGTGGAGCCAGCCTTGGGTCAAGGTATCTTTTTTTTTTTCCAGTTTTCAAATATTTCAACAAGTATTTGTTACCTAAAAAAAGCCAGTGGAGTAAAGAAATAAAAACAAAAGACATAATAATCCAAGGGCCTGGAGGCCTTGTAGCATCTTTTTTTTTTTTTTTTTGCGGTACGCAGGCCCCTCACTGTTGTGGCCTCTCCCATTGCGGAGCACAGGCTCCGGACGCGCAGGCTCAGCGGCCATGGCTCACGGGCCCAGCCGCTCCGCGGCATGTGGGATCCTCCCGGACCGGGGCACGAACCCGCATCCCCTGCATCGGCAGGCGGACTCCCAACCACTGTGCCACCAGGGAAGCCCCCTTGTAGCATCTTTTACAGGCTCTGAAGCCCACCGGCATCTGTCTACCAAGACCCCGAGTTCTGGACGATACGCCAATTCTCAGGTCACTCTGGGCCCCTTGTCTCTTCTTTATTTTTCAGATTTCCAAAAATTGTGACATGCAGCTAGCATTTCAAGATTTCTGTCTACCCTCACTGGTAATAACACCTTGAAGGCTGAGTGGCCCGATTTCTCGGGGTCAAGGAAGGGCCCAAGGGGCTAGCTGGGTCCAGGCCCTGGTCCAGGGTGCCCACAGGTCTGACTTTCCTGGGCTTCCCCGCAGGTCATCCCCAAGGACTACAAGACTATGACGGCACTGGCCAAAGCCATCTCCAAGAACGTGCTCTTCGCTCACCTGGACGACAACGAGAGAAGGTAGGTGCGGGAATGGGGCTGGTGGGATGTCCAACTCCAGGGGACACGGGTCAGTTTTGGAAGCACGGGCTCATGGGGCAGGGGTGGCCTCTAGAAATTTAGCGCTGTGTACACTTGGGCTGCCGCCTCAAATCTGGGTTGGGATCCAAAGTGCCCGCAGGCCAACCTTGTCACGGCAAGACTTCTCTTCTGCTTGCAGAGGGCCTGCCGTGCCCGAGCTGAACTCACTGCCTCGTGGGCTTACGGGTGAAATGCACGTCTGTCCGCGGAGCACGGGGTCCTGAGGGAGGGTGACTGAGCTGGGGTGGCGCTCAGCACGGGCTGGAAGGGCCTCAGGGGTGGATGTGGGGTGGGGGCGAGAGTTACTCCAGGGAGGGGCCTGGGGGCAGTGAAGGGGCTGGGATGCTCTGCTTGGCAATGGCGAGCATGTAAATAATTGGGAAAACTGGAAAACGTTAAGCCACAAAGCAAAAATAATCACTGGGAATGTTTTGGGGGCAGTCCTTCAGGATTTAATCTATGCACATACCGTAACCCTGTATTGTCACAAAACGGAATGACGTTCTCCGTAGTTTGTCGCACTTGAGAGGTGGTGAGCGTCTCTCTTTGTCAGTAGAGGCTTTCGTGGTCTGTGGTCCCCGTTTCTATAGGGTTGTGTGATGTGGCTGCTCTCCTGCCGTGGCTGTTTGCGTTTTTTATGATAAACAGCATTTTGATGACATGCCCATACTCGTATGCTCGTCGGGAGTATCTGTCTGTTTCTTTAAGATAAACTCCTCGACGTGGATCAATGGGTAAATGATGTTTGAAAAAAATTTTTTTTTTCTGTTCTTGGCAAACGGTGATTCTTCATTAGAATAACCGAGCACATTTTGAGAACAGTCCATGCGAGATGTGCAGATGACATACAGATACGCGGAGTGAAGGGAGAAGAGGCCACTTTGTGTCCCCCTCCCCACAGTGACCACCAGCCGTGGCCTGGACTGGCCCCTCCAGGCCGTTCTCCGCGTGCGTATCATGTGGAAACAGGTGGGACACACACACCTTCCGTGGCGCGGGCCGGGGGCCTCCCGTGTGGCCACTGTGCGGTGGCTGTGGACGTGCAGCTCCACCAAGGGACGGGTTGGTTTGTCCACCGCTCCCCTTGCCCAAGTCCCTGTGGACGTTTCTAGTTTCCCATGGTGCGGGGTCTCAGTGAAGAGCGAGGAATGGTGCTTCTGCAGGATAGGGTGGCTGGCATGCCAGTGTGGGTTTTTAGGCTTTTGATACGTTGTGTTGGCTGGTCCCAGGAGGGCCGCAGGGACATCCAGAGGACCTGCAATCGGGGGTGGTCCCTCCTCGCCCGCAGCGTACTTCCCAGGCGGGGTGGCTGTGATCCAGGCTGAGGTGGAGATGCCCTGTCTGCAGAAGCCCGTGGCACGGGGCAGGGGCGGGGCTGGCCGGTCCTCCGTCTTGGACCCATCCGTCCGTGCCCGCTCCCTGGGGGAGTCAGCCTCACCACGCCCTCTGCTCTCCAGCACTTGCCGGCTCCTGGTGGATCCACGGAAGGTGGACACGTGTGAGACACCTCGCGGTCGCCCTCCCCCATCTCCCTCTGCTGAGTTGGCTTCCCCTGCCCCGGACACACCGGGTACGATCGCCTTATTTCACGTTTGAGGAGAGAGGGTGTCGTTTCTCTGATTACTGGTGACACTTTGCTCAGTTCATGGCCTTGGAAGCTGCTCAGTGGTTCACTGGCCTGGACTCTTCTGCCCAGAACAAAAGGGTTTGGACTCAGAATCACAGTGCTTTTCAGCAGGTCACACCCTTTCATGGCCCCTTCCAGCTCCCAGGTAGCAGCAGGTTCAGAAAGTCTTAGCTTAGGGCCAGCCTGGCCGAGGCAGCTGAGCTGGACTCCCTCTCTGGGCCGTTCCGGGTGTGTGTGTCTAGGAAACGTATGCTGGAGTCCTGCGCCCTTGGCCCTAAGTTCCCAGAGCCACACGGCTCCCTCTGCCTCAGACTTTACTGCATCCGAGAGCCAGGTGGACAAGAAGTGGAGGAAGCAGATGGTTGGATTAAGATTCCTCTTTTCCAGGCTGGATTGGAAAGAAAGCTTTCACACGGGAAGCGTCTGCTTTAGATCTTTTGTTTTGCACAGAGGAAAACTCACTTTCCAGATCGAAGCCCGCACAGGCTCCCGTTTCTGGCTACGGCTTCTAAAGAGACGGGCTGACGGTTCAGGAAGCGGGTTCCAGAGGCCGTGGGCAGGGAGACGCTGTCCCCTGACCTTCCACGTGACATCTCCCGGTGCGGCATCCAGGGCCTTTGCTTCTCTCAGTGCGCTGGACGCTGGGCTTCGCAGCTTTGTCTCTGCTCAGTTGCGGTCTGGCGCGTGCCGCCCAGTTCTTTCCAAGTTTGCAGGGCGCCTGGTGAGCCTCGCTGTGGGTGCTGCCTGCTGCTCCCTCTGCTTCCTGGCATGAGTAGGGTACTAGAATATCCATGTGGGTGAATCCGTGCGGGAGAAGCCACGTGCTGCCCTATGATCCCTCCTGCTAAATGCAGGATTGGGACAAAAAGACCCCACGGTCTAGGGCTGGGTGCTTTCGCTCTTGTCAGTGTTTTCAGCTTGCGTGGAGCCGCATCCGCGGGGAGACAAGGCGAAGACTGTGTTCCAGCCCTTTGTTTTAAGAGAAGGTAATGCAGCGTGGCTGAGGGACAGAGCCCCTACCCCAGACTGCCGGGCCTCCTTCTGGGTGGGGCGGCGTTTCTAGTCGGCGTTTCTCGAAGGCTTTCTCTGGGTCTGTGCGGATACTTTGGAGCCTCAGTTTCCACTACCTAAATAAGAAGAGTGTCTCTTGGCCAAACCACAGCACCTGGCAGAGCCTCAGTTTTCTCAAGTGTCAAATGAGGGTAATAAAACCTACTTTGAGGCTTGCAGTGAGGATAGAGTGAGATACTGTCCGTGGGCGTATCATTACCATCATTATAATCACCTCCATCATCACCACCATCACCATCATCACCATCACCACCATCATCATCACCACCGTCATTACCATCACCACCATCATCATCACCACCGTCATTACCATCACCACCATCATCATCACCA